CAGTTGCTATCCCATTAGAATTAGAAAGCAGGTGAAGTACAAAACATGAAAGATCGCACTTGATTCAGACTGTTTTCTCAACGGGATTCATGCAGGATTATTAGGAACACCTGTTCAGATTCTCATTAATGCAGTTATCTAATCAACCAATCACATGGCAGTGTCTTCAATGCATTTAGGGGTGTGGTCCTGCTCAAGACAATCTCCTGAACTCCAAACTGAACGTCAGAATGGGAACGAAAGGTGATTTAAGCGATTTCGAGCGTGGCCGGTCTGAGTATTTCACAATCTGCTCAGTTACTGGGATTTTCACACACAACCATTTCTAGGGTTTACAAAAGAATGGAGTGAAAAGGGCAGTCCTGTGGGAGAAAATGCCTTGAAATGCCGACTGATTCAAGCTGATAGAAGAGCAACTTTGACTGAAATAACCACTCGTTACAACCGAGGTATCCAGCAAAGACCCCAGCGGGTACCACTCATCTCCACTACAGGCTACAATTAGCAAGAGCTCACCAAAACTGGACAGTTGAAGACTGGAGAAATGTGGCCTGGTCTGATGAGTCTCGACATTCAGAATTTGGCGTAATCAGAATGAGAACATGGATCCATCATGCCTTGTTCCCACTGTGGTGGTGGTGGTGTAATGGGTGTTTTCTTGGCACACTTTAGGCCCTTTAGTGCCAATCGGGCATCGTTTACAGTTTTTCTCGATTGTTTACACACATTTTCTGGTACTTGAGACACAATGACCACAACATGTAACTCATTCACCAACCCCCTGAACCAATTCTGATGAACTACAAGCACAATTCCTGCTTTAAAACTCAAATTGCAGTCCTAAAACACACGTTTTTCAAAACACTACACACAATTCTCTGCATTTGGCACAGTTTTCATGCAGAAAATCTCGTTTTCACGAGGAAAACACTGCCATTCAAATATTCACACTGACTCGTCATATGGGTAAACACATGTCACACAGTTTTACAATTAGCGATCAGAGCTTAAGCATAAAATACCAAAACCATGCAAAGGGAAGATGCAGCATAGATTTTTTTTTAATTTATTTTTTTACTGTAACAGCATAAAAAATTCTGTTGTTTTGTACGTAGATCACTGTATGTGCAACTTTGTGTTGGTTGGGGTGTACAAAATGTGGGATCTATCTGCCATTGATTTTGTGGGAAAAATTAAATATATTTGTTACCGTGTATTTGTGTGTTCTGGTTAAAAAAAGCAATATTCTCAAATATTTTACAACACGCTTATGCATGTAATGTCTTTAGTAAGTGTAACACTGAACAAAAAAGGCCTAAGTCATTATGATGAATGGAGAAGAAGTGGTAACACTTTATTTGAAGGGGTGTGCATAAGACTGACATAACACCTGTCATGAACATGAAGGAGTCTTTATGAATGTTTACGACTGTTATCATTAAGTGTCATTCGGTAAATTATGACACTTTTAATGCAAAGTTGACATTGTTTAAAATATCTTTGTTATGACAACTTGACATAACTGTAACACAGACAGAAATCTATTTGTTATGACAACTTGACATTAACCAAGAAATCAACAGGTCTAATTATCAAACTTAAGGAAGTTATTTAGCTTTGCGTTAACATCACATTATCCTGTCATATGTGGTTGGTTTTGACTTTGGCCATAATGACACCATAACTCTGTCATGAATATTTGACTTGTCCTCAAGTAAAGTGGAACACATTGTACTAGTTATAAAGAGGTCATTAAGGGTCATTACACTGTCAAATGTCCCCTTACCTCAAGTAAAGTGGAACACGTTGGACTAGTTATGATTTCTTGGTTAATGTCAAGTTGTCATAACAAAGACATTTTAAACAATGTCAACTTTGCATTAAAAGTGTCATAATTTACCGAATGACAGCAGTCATAAACATTCATAAAGACTCCTTCATGTTCATGACAGGTGTTATGGCAGTCTTATGCACACCCCTTCAAATAAAGTGTTACCGAAGAAGTGTTTTCCATTGAGCACATCAGTGTTCAACTGGTTCTTATAAATGTCTATTCATATGATGGTTTGTGTGTGTGTCATTTGAAAACAAAATAACATTTTTGAGAATATATAACATTGTTTTGAACGTAAAGTTTCATTTTGCAGGAGAATTGAGGGCCAATTGTGTGAGTGTTTTTAGGTTTTGTGTTTTTTGTATTCTTTCAGAAAATGTGTGTAAACAATCGAGAAAAACTGTAAATGCCACGGCCTACCTGAGCATTGTTTCTGACCATGTCCCCATCCTCTGATGGCTACTTCCAGCAGGATAATGCGCCATGAATCATTTCAAATTGGTTTCTTGAACATGTCAATGAGTTGACTGTAGTAAAATGGCCGCCACAGTCACCAGATCTCAACCTAATAGATCATCTTTGGGATGTGTGTGCCCCGCCCCTTTATTATGCGCATAAATTATTATAATGAGGAATGCTGAGACGTGTTCCCGGAAGAAACTCAAGGGGTTCAGCAACACTGAGGAGAACTGGAGCTTTTCTCTCTCAAACACAGATGACACTGTACAGGAGAAAGCAGACCAGCTCGTTCCACAGGCTCGAGCAGAAACCAAGTGTTTCCCCGATAGTGGGAACAACAGATGATGTCAGGAAGAAGGCACAACTTCTACACGAGGAGCTAAACAGGTTTAGGAGGACAGAGGTCATCGTCTGCACAACACAGCTGATACCAGATCAGTTCGAGATTAGATTAGAACAGGTTATCAAACCCAAGCTGGACCAATCAGCCGTGAGTAAATGCAATGAAGCCCCGCCCCCTGAGTCTCTCGCTCCACAGCAGCTCAGAGTGGAAAACTGTTGCACATCTTTAATCATTTATTATGTTAATATTATGAATTGTTATTATGTGTAATTCATTTAATATCTAGAGTTTGTTCGGCTGGCGTCAACAGGCCTCGGCACCAGCGAATCATGCCAGTGTGTCCAACCCGACACCATCACTGATGAGGACCTGACCGAGACTACAACACACACACACACACGTATGGCCTAAATCAGTTGTGGATATGACTCACACTCATGTTGTTTATTAACCCTTGTGCTGCATTAGATTGCATTAAGGACCAAAAATGGCCACATATTAAACATTGCCTAAAATATTATATATTATTATTATTTTCCACTTTTACCAAGTTAAATCTTTTAACCAGCATCAGTCCTCATCATAACTACCAAAAATGTATTCAATTTCAGGATTTTAACCCTTTAATTACCAGTTTTGTTTGCGAAACCATCGATTTGTATAAGAGGAAAAAACACAAAAATTCAATTATTTTCAATAAACTAAATGCAAAGAGAAAACTTTAGATTTGGATTATCACAGTCCCACTTTGCAAAAAATCCCAGACCAAAAATGGCCACCTATTAAACATTGCCTATTGCCTAAAATAAGGTGCATTTCCACCCATAGGGAATAAATATGTAGTGACGTCATCACTATATAATGCAAATATAATGCTTTTGCTTCAAAATGAAAGGATGTTTGTGCAAAAATCATGTTTCATGTATTACTGACAGCCTCAGTTTTAATGGGTTTCAATGGGCCATTTTTGGTCTTTATGGTGCTGAGTGTTACTATTTGATCTACACAGTGTGTGTTATACATATTTTGCAAAATGGGACCACATTTTTTACATGTATCCAAAAAGTCACAATTTTGCCAAATTTCATAGCATTTGCATTAAAACAGCCAAAATGGTCAAAGAAATTAACCTGCAAAAGACCAAAAATGTCCCTAATGCAGCATAAGGGTTAAGAAAGATATTTTTTAATATCCTCTCATCATTTTTTGTGTACCCAGTCAAAGTCTCGGTAATAATCAATAGCTTTAGTAAATAAAGACCATAATCCACATTAATCAAGTGTTAATACGATCAGCTATAATCTAGTGCAGGGCACCTGAAATAAAAGTTTGTGTTTACATAATATATATAAAGATATATTTGCATCATGTGTATGCTGTATATAAATACAGAATTTATATTATATTATATATAAATATCAATAATTTATATATAAATAAAATATAATTCTCAGATACAAGTTTGGGTATTTATATATACAAAATAACATGCACAACACACACATTATGTAAACACAAACTTTTATTTCGGGTGTGATTACACATGAACATTAATAAACACTCATTAATAAAGCACATCAAACACAGTGAACAGAAGCTCAGAGATGTTCAAGCATGTTTGAGTTCAAGTTGATCTCATGTCGAATCATCTTTCAATGACACGAACCAAAAAAACACTGACTGTCCAATATGAATATCTCTAATATTGAATATGCTGAATCCCATCACAGCATGTGTTCGAGCGGCCATAACTGGACATATGGATCATAGAGTCTAATTACATAAATACACACACGGCCATTGGCTGATCCAGGACCAGGTGCACGCGTATCTCCTCTATTCACACTGAGGACACAACTTTAATACTTTCTAAAATGGCTACACACACAGAATCACTCGCTCACTAATGTGAGCATCCAGGCTGAGATCTTCCCCAAAGATGAAGATTATATCTGGAAGTGACACTAATATGATCAACTCTTAAAGTCCACGGGGATTCCTCTTATCTCAGAGGGCTAATCCTTAGGGTTTATTGACCCATATTCCTCATTGCACAACACACACACACACACATAATGGAGAAAGGCCAGGACAGCAGTGGTTTAAAGGGTGCTGTTGAGTTATGTCATCTGGTCAGCATGAGGGAACCCGGTGACATGACACCCCGTGACGGCTGTCCATGCAGATTACTCATATTCATCTCTGTCAGCAATCCCTGATAGTAGCACGCTTTGTAAACAAACTCACCTTAATCACTCATATGGGTCCTCTAATCATGAAAATTGCCCGTTAAAGCATGTTATTTGCAGGAATATCGCTGTTTCACACACACACACACACACACACACGCGCGCGCACTCTTACCTTGGTCACCACATTTCTCTCCAGCCCGTTCTCCAGGTCCTTCCCGGACTGCGCACACTCGCACGGCGGCTCGGTGCTGTCGTTACCGACGCCGGTGAGCATCTCGCGCGGCGCGGCGGTCGTGAGCGCGTGGTTGTGGTTGGACAGGCTCTCGCACGATGTGTTCGCCCGAGACTGAGGCTGAGCCAGCAGGAAATTGTCCGAAAACTGGCTGAAGCCAATGAAGAGGGCCGGGATCCATGTTAACACGATCAGCTGTTTCTGATACTTCCCAAATCCGCCCACGCTCGGCAGGACGCGGGCGTCGATGTGCGTGAGTAAGCCGGGCGCGATGCTGGTGTCGGGGGTGACGAACCCGTTCTCCGGTGGATGAGGCTCGATGTCCAGCTGATGAGACACGGCCATCACCGTCTCGCACATACTGCGGCAAACACACACACTCCCCGCGTTCACACCGATCCGACGCACGGAGAGCTTCAGGGAGTGGTTTGCGTGTCTTCACCCGTTCACAAAGCAGCGTCACGGACTGATCGCGATCAATCAATAGAGTAAAGTCCCCGGTTCGGCCCACTGTCTGTCTGTCTGTCTGTCTCCAAACGCGTTCCTATAGTCGAGAGGAGAAACAACAACAACAACAACAACAACAACAGTGTTCAAGGACAGCGGTTCAAATCCGTGTCCATTTCCAGCATTAACTCACTCACAGCCACAGGTAACACACCTGTACACACACACACAGACCCGCGCTGCGCGTGACATTACACGGAGACACGCGTCATGATCCACTCACGCGCTCAGGAATCTCTCTTCTGACGCGAGAGTTTAACGCGTTCCGTCGGTGATGATCCGGACCGAGTGATGGCGGAACTCAGATCAACACCCCCGTCAACACGCACTCACTGCTGGCATTGATTAAAACTGCGTGTGTGTGCGTGCTCAACTTCTGCTCAGCGGGTTAACTCTGAGGAGCCTGTATTTAGCTACTTGTGGTTTTAGAGGAAACATTATGAACCAAGCAATTATGCTCTTTAATAATAATAATTTAATGGCATATTTTAGTGCGAGTGTGATCCTGCTGGTTCCATTATGCAGTAATGCTGCTCTCTACTGGCCAAACTGGTGGCAGGACTATTTCAATGACAAGAGCAGTGAGTCTCCCTTGTGTTATTTAGTCTGGGTTACTTTTATGTTTACATTAAACATAAAAGTAATTCCATAAAATTGCTCATGTTGCTTTTACATGTAAGTTCGGCTTATGCATTAAAGTCATTTGTATTATGTATTTGTGTACACAAAACAAATTACCTTAATACATATAGTCAAATTAATTTATAGCGCCTTTAACAATATAAATGAGTAACAGAGACTGTGTGTGCGTGTGTGTTTTAAGCCGAAACTGTTCTAATATTTGTGGATTAGCATAATTGAAATAAGCCTGCCATCTAGTGGTGACAGTGGATCAGTGGTTTTGTTTGCAGTCAGTGTGTGAATGTTCTCACACACAAGTCCTCAACCTTCGATCCCAGCCGAGTCATGAACACACTCGTGTGATATAAAGCAACTCGTGTGTTTATCCACTTATTTCACAGTCTCTGATCAAAAATATAAATACTGTGAAGAGGAGGCTGTTGCATGTGTCACTCGGAGATGTGTACACATGTTGCGTCTCAGTAGCTTACTGATAAGGTTTGGATTTAAACATCTATATTGAAAGCTTGTGGTTTGTATGTTGTTGTTTTCTTGGTGACCAGATGAACACAATTAACCAGCTTGGCATTAAGACAAACGCTATAACAGCGGACACTGTTTGTTTCAGGGGTTTGCAGGAATTATAATTATAAACTTTTAAGTTACATTTTATTTCCATAGTCCAGTTTAGACATCATTCTAACTATCAATAAGTAACTTTGCAACTACATGTCAACTAACTCTCATTAATAGGCTATGCAACTACATTTTAATTACTTTTCATTAATATTCAACTACGTTTCAACTAACTCATTCATAAGCAACTACATGTCAACTAACGTTAATTAATTTGCCACTACATGTTAATTATTTCTCATTAATATGCAACTACATGTCAATTATCATTAATATGCAACTGCATGCTAATTACTTCTGATTAATTTGCAACTACATGTTAATTACTTCTCATTAATGTGCACCTGCATTTCAGCTATCATTAATTTGCAACTACATGATAATTATGTATAATTAATATGCAACTACATGTTAATTTATTCTCATTAATATGCAGTTTCATGTCAACTATCATTAATTTGCAACTACATGTTAATTACTTCTCATTAATATGCAACTACATGTCAAGTATCATTAATATGTAACTACATGTTAATTACTTCTCATTAATATGCAACTACATGTTAATTCTTCTCATTAATATGCAACTACATGTCAACTATCATTAATTTGCAGCTACATGTTAATTACTTCTCATTAATATGCAAATACATGTCAAATATCATTAATTTGCAACTACATGTTAATTACTTCTCATTAATTTGCAGCTACATGTTAATTACTTCTCATTAATTTGCAACTACATGTCTAATGTGGACCCTCGAAAGAAAGTGACCCCTAACTTCATAATACTGATGTATAAAACTATCTGCTAGTTAAAGGCTTGATATTCTTGTGTATAACCTTTTCCATGTACGCTCTCAGGAACTGTTTAGTTTTAATATGTAATTATGTAACTAATAACAGTTTACACACGATTAAAAGTCTGTTAAATAGGTGATATAATTAGATTTTTTAATGGCAGGAACCCAAAACTCAATTTTTCTCAGCTTTTGTGTTTCGTGATTGTGAAATCCACGTCTGAAGAGGTGAGAATGGGCTGGTCTTGATGAAGTCATGATGTGTGTGTGTGTTATCTTCTGAGGTGTCTGATGTGTGTGTTATTTTCTGAGGTGTCTGATGGGTTATCAGCTGCTGTCGATCACTGAAGGGTTTATCCACATGATGTGTTCTGTACCTTGACCTTTTCAAGTTCTGCTATAGTACACACAGTAACACTTGCTTGCAAAGAAACCGCATCCCTCCTTCAGTTGTCAGGTTTTATAAAACATGCAATCTAATCAGAATGCCTGGCTTGCTGGGGATTTTTGGCAAGCAGAATCTCTGCCAAGGGTGTGTCAGAAGAGTGTGAGTAATGTGTGTTCATGAAAAGCCTCACGCATTGAAAGAAAACACAACAAGTGGTAACAGAGCAGCTGGCTGCAGACATGAGCCGGCCACACCTGAATCACTGAGGCGTTGGCTCACCTTTATGACCCAGCCCTCGAAACACATCAAAGTTGTGTTCTGTTGAGTAGTTACTGCATAAACAAGTGTCTGAAGGGTTGATTCTTAAAACAGTCTTTCGCACAGCGTTTATAAAACATCAAAAAATAGCATTGTGTGGTTGAAGGCTATTTGCAAAACGATGAAAGTTAACGATTGTCTGAAACCGTGCCGATTAGTCTGAGACTGAAGGGATGGTAACACTACACTTCTCAGTCCATTAGCTCTTCACATGCCAAATGCCTCGCCTTGAAGTACACATTAACATCATTGGAGATAATCTCGATAAGTCGTGGGAGAAGTGCACTCAGAATAGTGCTCACTTCGGGTGGATCAGCTGGCTACTGTGTGACATCAGAGACCAATGGTGTGCTTTGTATACTAAGGCTGTTTACACGACACGGGCGACTAAAAACGCAAAACGCTTGATGCGCTTTGGCCGTTTATTTATACGACATCTACATAGTTGGGCGCCTGAAAACACAAACTTTTGAAAACCGTCTCCGTGCAAACAACAAAACGTGCAACATCAGGACTTTTGCGTAAACATACACGCCACTTTCAAGTCAAGTGGCGTGTTATCTATACGCATTTTGAGCAACCCGCGTGTATGTACACGCCGTTAAATGTCTGAGCGAAACGAAGCAAACTGTAGATCTACATCTGGGGAGCGATTTTTCTATTAACCCCTGTGACGGGTATTTTTAGGGACGGGTTGGGGTAGTCATATATATAGAGAGCCTAAGTCCCGCCCCTCCGCTTCCGGCTCATGGGACCTTATTTCGGAAAAAATATGAATGGTAGTCAATGGCGAGAGACAACTTATCTTTTTATTCCGTCTGAATTGTTCCCTGAATTACACATATGATGTTTGTCAATTTAAAAGATTATTCTGAAAGTCAAAAACGTCGCAGTTTGTCATAAAACAGACGAGTAATATTCAGTTTTATGTGAAAATCGCTGTGTGAACTACATCTCCCAGAAGAGAAACGAGATCCGCTGCTCGTGTGTGTGCAGTCTGGTACAAAACACTCGTAACGTTACGATTATAACGTACTGTAGAAACAATGACAGACGTTAGCCTCAGTAAAGTTAGCTTCATTCATTGAGAGAAAATGTGCGCCTTTGGGGTTTGTAGTCTTTGTAATTACGTATTTTCACAGTCTTATACCTCAACGGTTTTACATCAAACTGCGACTTTCTTTACTTTAAAATGCATCTTTTAAATTGACAAACATCATATGTGTAATTCAGGGCACAGATCAAAATATTTGTTGTCTCTCGCCATTGACTACCATTCAATATTTTTCCGAAATAAGGTCCCATGGTGGTCGACCGGAAGGGGAGGGACTTAGGCTCAGTAATGTAACGTTAAGTCAACGGTGTTCATAAGCACGCTGGAAAGCGATTATACGTGTAGATAGCACGCCAAAAATGTAAATACGAATTGGCGTGTCATACATACATACACCATTTCATAAGATCAGTCTGAAACGTGAATCTGTGAAGACGATGGTCATGCGCATTACATGTTCAGTCTACAGTGTGTTATCGCCATCTGCTGGCCTGGCAGCAGAATACAGCCCGTGTGACAGAGGATCGTTTTAATAATGGTGTCCTAAAGTTTTAAGCATATCGTTGTCGTGTAAACGCACCAAATATCCTGTTGCTTTTATATGAAAATAAACAAGACACCCAAATAAAAGGGGTTATTTAATTGACCCCCATCCAAGACACATCTTTTACTTTTTTTTATATGTCAACTTTTCCATACAGTCTGTGATTCACGCATAAAACATGATATGTTGTTATTTATTGGGGACTAAATTCATGCATGCCAGTGTTGAGCATCCACAGACAACAACGAGCGCGGCTCACGTTGAGATAGAGGGTCTGAAGCCGCTGCAGAAGGTCATGGAGTTGTTCAATTCTCTATCTTCGAATAATGTTGCTCAACTGTGGTTCATCCTGTCTTACCAGCCATGGCCCAGTTCAACTCTCAATCCTCCGAAGGAGCAATAGGCATATATAAATTATCAGGTGTTGTTTTGGGCTGTCACAATCATAAAAAGCAGTGTAAGGACTGTCACTTGTGCATTATGCGTGCACATAATGATTTTACAATATACAATTTTTAACATTTCAACGTAAAGACAGCTAAACTGCAAGTGTTTTCCAGTTTTTAGTTCCAGGAGAGTGTTGTTTTCTTTCGTTTTTTTCATCCTGAAATTGTGATATACTAAAGTGCGAGGCTTGGGCGGTGATCTTTTCTTGATTTTCAAGTGTGTACAGTACGGGAAGCCTCTTTCAGTCGTCACATTTATAGTAGAGGCAAGTTTGATCATGTGTAGGCTCTTTCCAGAAGTGCAACTATTAACTGTACTGAAAGAAATCACAAAATTATTAAGGGCTGGACAGGTGTGTCTGTAGGTGTGTGCCACTCTTGTTAAATACGATTAAGAGAAACACTATGTTCCCAGCCAGAGACAACAAGTATAGGTTAGCTCATATAATGTATAGGTTATATAATCTATGGTGTATATCTTCTCAGAGGGGTAAAAAATAAGTCAGTAAACAAAACAAGAAATTAAATCACAATCTCT